GTTATTTTTCTCGACTTTTTTTGTTGTGTGCGTATCACTTCTTTTTTATCCCCCCCCCCCCCTCGCTAAACTCCGAAATTCGCTGCGGGTACCGGATAAATAAGATAAATATATAATAATAATTATAATTCATGAAATGCTGTGAAACCAGCCTGGTAGAAACCTAACCTAGGATTATCTAGGGACGGTTGTTGCTAGGAAGGGGAGGGGGGTGGGGAGAGAAAAAGAAATAAAAGAGAGGAGAGGTGTGGCAATAGGGGACTGGTGTGTCACGTGACGTATATTTTTTTGCTAATCTTAGTGTGGGAAACTGTCAGTTTGTATAAGTCACGTGACGCCAGCTTACGTAGAAACCATTAGGCCTGCGGTTCGACGCCTCACATCGACCAACTGCGTCCTGATCACGACTTAGTGGCAAGTAAACCACTAGACATTGTTGTTCGTACACAACCGAGTCGAACACCGAGTTTTTCAATGTTACCGGAGAAGCAAGCATCGCCCCCGCCTGCTACAGACCTCGAAGGGGAGGGACCTATTGAACTGTTTCCGGAAAGGCAAGAACAATGAGCCACCCTATCTGTTGGCGACAGAACGTGATGACATCCCAGAACAACCGCTAAAGTTCCTAGATCAGATGCTCCCTACAAGTAGCTACATTCCCTTGAAGCGCAAACTGCGTGACAGTAACAGGTTTCAGGAAGCGAATAGGCGGCGCACAGTAGAGGACCGAAACTGAACGACGCCATTTTGTTCCAGCGGTATGTCCTTTGCCATTAGTATTGGTTATCGTTGCTTGTAAAAAAGGTACCAAGGAACTTTACGCCACGCTTATGGGTTTAACCGGTAAATCTACATCTCATCCCCAGTCCCAAAACTAGCAGGAAATTATTCTGGGGCTTCTTCATAGAGGCTGAAATCTTTCTTGATCATGCATCAAGAGGTCTCGTGACACCCATCGTGCCGGGATCTTCTACATACCCCGAACTTCATCAATGATTGTGAGAGCTCTGTCATACGAAATGTTCAAACTGTGGACACTTTAAATCGGCAAGTTTTTATGATCAGTCTCATGTCCGGCTGAATTATCCTAATGAGTCGAAGTGCTTGACCGCCCTGACCTTGTGTCGTCTTGCAAGTCCAAAAGACCGCGTTTAAACTCGTTGAAGCTACGACGTACTATAGCATATGAAGGACATTCCCCTTCATGCACATTTACCATTCTATCGTGATTTTTCTTCGGGACCTTCTTTGCACAAAAAACTTCGTTACCGATGCATAATGCATCAGTAACAAACTGCCAGATGCAGAATAAGGGATGGACCGGAAGGCTTGATATGGCGACATTGTTTCTTCAGAAAGGCGAGCTATCTGAAGTTTTAAAGAGATCAAGGTTAGACTTTTGTTTCCAGTCGAATTGCAAAAATTTTTGATCATTCCTCGCGTATCAAAAGGAAGACACATTAATTTAGGCTGCATGAAGAACTAGCTGGAAATGTCTCTCGTGCATAACTTCTTTCATGCAAGCCAGTGGGAAGTTTGGAAAATACTGAATGATTGTTTATATCCTCAGGGTAGTGGCGGATATGTGCGTCAGATTTGGGCAAGGTGGGAGAAGGGGGAGTGGTGGGGGGTAGGGGGATTTTGCTGGAGGGAGCAAGTGTTTTGCAGAGAGATTTGACGTTAGAGACGGATGTGATATCGCCGGCAAAGCGTCGCCCAGATCAATTTCGTAAGCCTAATATTTGTCGTTTCACCAAAAACAATCATTTCTTCTTAATAAGACTGGAGTATCTCGTTAAAAAAGTATTTTTGAGGAGCGTAATAGGGGCAAATCGTCCGCCTCCATCGCCTTAATATCGCTTTTGTTTTAGAGAAAATGTAAAATTTTTCCTAGTGGCCAATGAGGAAAACCTTCGTTTTATTTATAGGAAACCAAAATACGAAATTGTTTCAAAAATAATAAATAAATGCCACTTACCTCAGCAATTCCATGCGAGCATCGCGAAATTTTACTATTGATTAGAAATACCTCATTATTATCGGTGCGATGCAGCAGAGCACTTAAGGGATGAAGGAAATTCAAACCGTATTTTAGAATGCCGAAGTATTTTTTCAATACAATTTTTTTAGGAATTATTCTTTAAAAAATAAAAGAAACGATTGGTAATATGTTTGTTATTTTTATTAAAATAATGACACAAAAAAACACCCTGAAAAATCGATCGTCATGGAACCGTGCAACCAGCTTGTGATTGGAATAGGTGAATGACTCTTGAAGCATGGAACGTGCGGGATTAATTCAGTTCATTCAGAGCTTGCTGAAACGCATCTTGGACGAAAGGTGTTATTATTTGTACCCAAAGTACTCTGACGAGTCCCGAGAGGATAAATCCCAGCGCGCTCGCAATTGCATACACAATATCTCCACCGCCGTTCATTCCGAAGTACAAGCCTTCTAGTACCACTGGAAACACATTTTTGATTCTATATTCTGTGCCTGAATCTGTCTTCGTTGTCACGAGCTCTCCCTCAAACCTGACAAGGTGAGCGTTAGAGGTGAGGGGTGCCGTTGTGTCCCGAACAAAGACTCCAAGGGACCTGCATCCGCACTGGGTACTTGGAACGCAAGCTGAACACGGTGACTGTGTCGTTTCCGCGGCAAAACGTCTTGTAGGGCCTGTCTCGCTTGAGGAGGTGGAGGCCATAGAGAGTTCCCTCTTCTAAAAAGATGGCGCCTCGCAGGATTTCCACTTTTGTCTCGTTGGAAACGAGCTCCTTGGGGAGATTTTGGATGAGCTTGTCCAGCTTGTCTTCCAGCTGAGCCTTGTCGGGGACATCGCAAGGCTCTGTAGGTAGGAGGAACAGCGGCCCATTTAGGACAATTATTAAAGTCCGGGATTATTAAGTTGTCAATTATTTTGGCGTAATTAGCCTTTTTAATATTGTTTTAAGGCCATGGTTTAAATTAGAAATTTGCTCAGCATCATCAAAAAATACCAAATCAACAAATTGCAGAAAGATAGAAGGCACGCGAAGGCATTTTACTGCTTTCTGAAAAACCGCACAAATTCGACCGGTTTTTAAATTTCGGATTGTTATACAATACAATACAATACAATAAACTTTATTTTTCCAGAAGTACTGGAGGGGTCCCCAGACAAAAAGCTGCTAAAAGCAGCTTGACTGGGTCTGGGTCCCCCTTATACATGGCGGCAGCTCGGACAGCGAACATATAAAACACTTTACCATGGTGATAAGAAAAATAAAACAAGGTCACATAACATTGGAGTAGCAGAAGAACAAAATTAGCTATGAATAGTTAAAACAGTAGGTACGTAAGTCTTTTTTGCCGATTGTGTAGATGTTTATGTTGTTCGTGGAACATTTATTTAACGCGTATGGTACTTTGTAATGCAATGATTGGAGGTTGTAATTAGTGCGGCACCGAGGAAGGAGCCAAGTGTCGAAGCGCATCTCGGCCCCGGCGGCACAGCGCTCCGTGGAGAGATAGTGCAACCAACCTCTGCTGCGTTAATTATCCCTTACTTTAATAATTTCCCAAAATGAGCCCCCGGCCCAGGAACAAAACGTCACGAGCCTTTTTTAGTTGCGATGATTAGTCTTCGCAGGAGCGATTTGGCCTGCGTTCTCTGAAACACCCTGTATAAATATATATATATATATATATATATATATATATATATATATATATATATATATATATATATATATATATATATATATATATATATATATATATATATATATATATATATATAAATATATCTTGTGGGAACCACGTTTCCCCGCATCTCTATCTAGGCCTAGCTCAGGCAGGGCGTGGGGCCTCACCACGTGGGGGCGCGTCCCGGATGCGAGGGCGAAGCCGTATTCCCTGGTGGACGGCTTTCCCTCGTCCTTCTCGGGTGATTTGCCTAAGGCACACCCCTCGGGATCATGACTTGGACGCGTCCGCCCCTCCGGGTAGCCACCTACATCCGACCCCCCCTGGGCGCGTCTATTCCCGCAGGCTATATGAGACGGCCCTAATCCAACGGGCGGGACTCTCGCTGGCGGAGGCTCTGCTCGACGGAGCCTTCATATCCTTATCTGATTCTCCCCCTCCGTGATACTGTCAATAGCGGCAGCGCGGGCTTCGACTAGCGATCCTGTCAAAAGAGACAGCGCCGTCATCTCCACCATTGTTGGCCTTTGGGCAAGCGTGTTGGCATTGCAATCAATAAACACGTCTTTATCCGGACCCAAGGAACCTTTTGTGTTTCTAAGTGGTACCCCCATAAAAGGGGAAACCCACAATATATATATATATATATATATATATATATATATATATATAACACGGGCACTTCACGGCATCGTACGTGGTCTCCGAGGAGGATATGAACGAATATGTGCAGTTGAATGAACCGTACTTAATCCAATGAATCAAAGAATCAAAGTTTCCAGGAACCCGCCGAAAGCCAAAAATTGGCGGAGCCAGGATTTGAACTCTGGGCCTCCCAATGTCCGGTCGGGTGTGCTAACCACTACACCACTCCACCTTGGCTTTCTGGCGTTTCCTACCTGTCTTATTAATGCACAAGAAACGAAATGTATCCAATGGAGGTGTTCTGGAAACACACGCCGCCGCGTGGAACGCGGTACGACGCTTAGTGTCACGTGGTACGTGCTCGTTTGTGCTCCAGAAATCCTCCCACTGTTTGTCTCGCCCCGTGTACATGTAGTATTCTTTGTTTATGAGCTTTAGAGACACGGTATCATCATCATCTGCGAGAATCAAGAGCCACGTTATTGAGTATACAACACGGGCACTTCACGGCATCGTACGTGGTCTCCGAGGAGGATATGAACGAATATGTGCAGTTGAATGAACCGTACTTAATCCAATGAATCAAAGAATCAAAGTTTCCAGGAACCCGCCGAAAGCCAAAAATTGGCGGAGCCAGGATTTGAACTCTGGGCCTCCCAATGTCCGGTCGGGTGTGCTAACCACTACATCACTCCACCTTGGCTTTCTGGCGTTTCCTACCTGTCTTATTAATGCACAAGAAACGAAATGTATCCAATGGAGGTGTTCTGGAAACACACGCCGCCGCGTGGAACGCGGTACGACGCTTAGTGTCACGTGGTACGTGCTCGTTTGTGCTCCAGAAATCCTCCCACTGTTTGTCTCGCCCCGTGTACATGTAGTATTCTTTGTTTATGAGCTTTAGAGACACGGTATCATCATCATCTGCGAGAATCAAGAGCCACGTTATTGAGTATACAACACGGGCACTTCACGGCATCGTACGTGGTCTCCGAGGAGGATATGAACGAATATGTGCAGTTGAATGAACCGTACTTAATCCAATGAATCAAAGAATCAAAGTTTCCAGGAACCCGCCGAAAGCCAAAAATTGGCGGAGCCAGGATTTGAACTCTGGGCCTCCCAATGTCCGGTCGGGTGTGCTAACCACTACACCACTCCACCTTGGCTTTCTGGCGTTTCCTACCTGTCTTATTAATGCACAAGAAACGAAATGTATCCAATGGAGGTGTTCTGGAAACACACGCCGCCGCGTGGAACGCGGTACGACGCTTAGTGTCACGTGGTACGTGCTCGTTTGTGCTCCAGAAATCCTCCCACTGTTTGTCTCGCCCCGTGTACATGTAGTATTCTTTGTTTATGAGCTTTAGAGACACGGTATCATCATCATCTGCGAGAATCAAGAGCCACGTTATTGAGTATACAACACGGGCACTTCACGGCATCGTACGTGGTCTCCGAGGAGGATATGAACGAATATGTGCAGTTGAATGAACCGTACTTAATCCAATGAATCAAAGAATCAAAGTTTCCAGGAACCCGCCGAAAGCCAAAAATTGGCGGAGCCAGGATTTGAACTCTGGGCCTCCCAATGTCCGGTCGGGTGTGCTAACCACTACACCACTCCACCTTGGCTTTCTGGCGTTTCCTACCTGTCTTATTAATGCACAAGAAACGAAATGTATCCAATGGAGGTGTTCTGGAAACACACGCCGCCGCGTGGAACGCGGTACGACGCTTAGTGTCACGTGGTACGTGCTCGTTTGTGCTCCAGAAATCCTCCCACTGTTTGTCTCGCCCCGTGTACATGTAGTATTCTTTGTTTATGAGCTTTAGAGACACGGTATCATCATCATCTGCGAGAATCAAGAGCCACGTTATTGAGTATA